CTTAGCAAGCCAGGAAGCAGACACAGCAGCTAGAACTTGAACCCAAATAATCAACTTTTTAGTGGGAACCACTTCCAGACGGCAAGCCTTCAGTAACCTAAAGACCTACCCAACTGCCACAGTTGATCAAGTCTCCACTCTTGACCCAGCCATTAACATTAGGAAATTAGAGTTTAAACATCTTGCATGAGTTTGGGAGAGATAACTCCTAATCAAGCCACAACAATATTTTTCTTACACAAATCATAATATTTTCTGATTTTCCTTGTGTTTTTCCTTTGGCCAATTAATTATGTAAAAATGTTATTTCTGAATTTTGAAACACATTGGGGATTTTTTTGGCATCTTTTTTGGTGATTATTTTCTAGCCTAATTATATTGCAATTGATTTCAGATTTTAAAATAGGTGGAAATTTTGCTTTATGAGGAGGTATATGAACAATTTTATAAATATTGTGTTGGCTGTTGAAAGAAATGTGTTTTCTACAGTTTGGAAAGCCTGTATATGTGTGTGTATGCATGCTGTTTGAATTTATATCATTTGCTACTCATTTTTTAATCTTCTCTGTCCAAACTCTGGGTGTTTATTGAATCAGTTACAGAGATGAAATATTAAAATGTCCCATTGTGATTGTGCACTTTTTCCATCTAATTTTGCCATTTTTGATTGATGCATTTGAGGCTTTACTATTTTCAGACCTAAAATTAACATTGTAATTTATTTTTATTTGTTGAAGTTTTATTGGTCTGAAATGATACACTATTTCTTGAAATACATTTTACCTTAAAGTTTCTGAAATTACTACTGTCTCTACACTTACTTTTCGTTAGTATTTTCCAGATATATCGTCTTTAACTCCTTATCTTTGGACCTTTCTGTATCTTTATGTTTTAGATGTGACACTTGTAAACAGCATGTAGTTAAATATTCTTAGTCCAGTATGATCATTCTTTTTTTAAAATTTTTATTTTTGATGATGTTTACAGAGTTACTTAGGATCCAGAGTTAGGGGGAAATGGGTAAGACAATTGTTTTCATCTTCTTCCTAAAACTGGTGGAAGGAGGAGATAAGAAGATAAACCACACCCAACCTCCCAACCGCCCCAGTACTCAGGGATGGGAACGGCCACCCGATTTCAACCCAGGGTCTCCGATAAGGAGCATGTTTGGAGGGTTCTGCTTCAGTGATTTGAATAGCTCTGAAATGCTGTCAATCTCACCTATCCAAGGATGAGGAAATCCTTCCAATGTCCATTGGCTGACATAGTGGACCTTAAAGTCTCCATTCACCCAGATATTTGCTGTCAATGCTTGGCTGAGATAGTTGTCCAATTTGTTCTGCCCTCCTTCCTCTGCTATAACACTAGATATCCCCTGCAAGCCCCTATGGACTGCCATATCCTTTGTGTGCATCTGGGCCTGCCATCCACTGCTCCATCTTTTCTACTGAGGACACTCAGTTCTGATACATGCGCTCTATGGTAAGACCACCAATCCTGGGTGTGAGCCCTCATGTCCTCGCATGCCCCCATTTTTGCCATCCCCCAAGCCCCCTTGGAACCTTACACACCAAGCCCCCACCAGCGCACTGCCAGGCAGTCGGTGGGTTTCATTCGGCACCATTGGCCCCACTGGATCCCCCACCCCAGGGGCGTATGGGCCCCGGCACCATCCCACATATTTTTAGAAGAAGAAAAAAATAGAATAGGCTAGGTGACTGTGCTGGCACACTATATGGTTAACAAAGATTTGGCATTAACCAGCCCAGGATGCCCACCAGCTATAATTAGCTGCTTTTCTCCCAGCTGTGTAACACTTGCCTAGGTACAATGCAACCTAGGCCATTGTCGATAGCTGGGGACATTCTGATCATTCTTATTTTATGACTAGAACATGTTAATTTTTGTACATTCAATACGATATTGAAACATTTGAGTTTAAATCTGTACATTATTCCTGTTTACTTTATTGATTTATTTAAGATCAATTTTTTAAAGATTTATTTATCTTATTGGAAAGTCAGATTTACAAAGAGAAGGAGAGACAGAGAGGAAGATCTTCCATCTGCTGGTTCACTCCCCAAGTGGCCACAATGGCTGGAGCTTAGCTGATCTGAAGCCAGGAGCCAGGAGCCTCTTCCAGGTCTCCCACGCAGGTGCAGGTCCCAAGGCTTTGTGTCATCCTCAACTGCTTTCCCAGGCCAAAGTCAGGAAGCTGGATGGGAAGTAGGGCAGCCGGGATTTGAACCAGCATCCTCATGGGTCCCCTGCACATGCCAAGGACCTCAACCACTAGGTTACCACACCGGGCCCAAAGATCAATTTTTTTTTAATTGATAAACTTTACTTTTGATATATTTATTTGAGAGGCAGAAAGAAAGAGCAACAGAGCACTCCCGTCTGTTGGTTCACATCCCACATCTTAACAATATCAGAGACTGGATCTAGGCAAAACCAGCCTCTAGGACCTCAATCCAAGTTCACAATATGGGGACAGGAACTCCTCATTTATTTGAGCTGCAACTGCTAATCTCCCACAGTCTGCATCAGCAGAGAGCTAGAGTCCAGGAGGGGGAGCTGGGTGTCAAAGCCAAGTAATCAGGCATGGAACATAGGTGTCTTAATTGACTTATTAACTGCTAGGCTGAATGCCTGCCTACACCAGCTGTACTTTCTGGAATGATTTTTAGGTTTACAGAAAAGTTGAGTTGGAAGCACAGAATTCCCATATACTTTCCCCACATACTAGTATCATATAAGGTAGAATAAACCCTTATTTTCACTGACTTTTTTTAAAGTCAAAGTTACAGAGAGAGATACCTTCCACCTATTGGTTCACTCCCCAAATGGTCACAATAGTTAGTGCTGAGCCCCGCCACACTGAAGCCAGGAGCCAGGACTTTATCCAGTTCTTCCATATAGATATAGGGGCACAAAGCACTTGGGTCATCTTCGGCTACTTTCCCAGGCCATTATTAATAGGGAGCTGGATGGGAAATGGAGCAGCCAGGCACTTGAAATAACATCATATAGGATGCCAGCAGTGTAGCCAATGACTTTATGCACTACACCACAAATGCTGCGCCCCCACCTGATTTTTTTTTATTATCTACATGGTTTTACATTTTCCCAGAATGCCACATAATTGAAATCATACAATCTGTGCCATTTTCAGATTGATTTCTTTGACTAAACAATGTATGTTTAAGATTACTTTTGTGTTTTTGTGGCTTCATAGTTCATTTCTTCTTGATGCAGAATAACATTCTATTATCTGGATATATCACAGTTTATTCACTTACAGAAGGACATTTTGGTTTTTTCCACATTTTGACAATCGTGAATAAAGTTTGTATAACTTCATACTCAGGTTTGTGCATAGATACAAGATTTCAACTTATTTAGGTTGCAATCAGTTTTTGGTTAATTTCTGTGCCTGAACTTTTTTTTTCTGTTTTCGCATGTTAATGTTGACTCATCCTGCATCAATTTGTTAAAAAGAATGTTCTCAACATTTTTACGTTTCAGGTTCCCCTTTATACTGGTGTGAGAATTATGTTCTTTTAGGGCCTGTTCTATAAAGTATGGAGTTATTTATGAACTTTTCTGCTTGTTTATAATTTTTCTGTGCTGCTCATTGGCTTTTTTATTTTTAATTTATTCACATTTTTCTGAGTCTACTAAAACTGTCCTTTGTGCTTCCATTTGAATTGCATTTTTCATTTCAAGAAACTCCTCTTTTTTTTTTTCAATTCATCAAGTTTACATTTTACTGTCCATTTCCTTTAATGTTACAACATTCATTTTTCTAAATGTAATTTTTAATTTAAAAATCAGAGTTACACAGAAAGGGAGCGACAAAGACGGGGTGGGGTGAAGAGAGAGAGATTTTCCATTGCTGGTTCACTTACCAAATGGCATCAGAGGCAGTGGCTTAACGTGCTGTACCACAGCACGGCTCCAGTGTTCAAATTACTTAACAACTGGTATGACAGCTATTAATGATGATAGATACTAGCTAGAGACATTAAAGCTATGCCAGTATTACCACTGAGTAACAACCTATCCACACATATTTTTAGTATATATCTTATATACAGGATATCTTGATATAAATATTTTATAACATATTTGCTAAGTTCAGAATCTGCATCTTGAAAATTTGTTTCAACCGTTTGTTTCGGCTTATGCTCATTCACGTTGTCTTATTTCACAGAGCGTTTGAGTATTTTTAATGTGTACAACTCATAATCCTTGAAAAAGTATTTATGAAAATATTTTGAAACTTAAGATGAAGTGCCTTCCTCCACAGAGGATTCACGTTGTTTCTGCAGTTGTTTGAGAGCAATGTAACTAAATTCAAGAATTTCGATCTCTTGGTCTCCATTATAATGTATTTTGGAAGTGCACATACATGAGTCTACTTGTGTCACACTTCAGGGACTGTTTCTCCCCACCTGCAGTGCTGCCTTCTCGTCAGTGCCAAGATAAACTTTATTATGGCCCCCATGGCCATTGGGTGGAAGTAGGTTTACTCCTGTTTTTGTCTTAGTCTAACAGTGTGATCCGTTGGGTGGGTGTTAATGTGTGTCTCCCTGACCTAGCGAGACCTTTCAAAGTTTAGCATTCGCTAAGGTTTGCGAATGCATGCCAGGTAAAAATGGCTTTGTTTCTCTGCTGAACTCTGCGGGACCTCACTTTTCCGTCGAGTTTGGCTGAGTAGTCCTTTACTATCTTTGTCAGTCCTCTTTTATTATTATTTGAAGGGGGGGAAAAAGCTTATATTTTTAATGTATTTTTCAATATTTTGAGGTGTTTTCAGCAGGAGGGTTGGTCTTGGCTTATTTAATCTTCCTTCTGAAAGCAGACTTCATTGCTTCTTTAGCATTCGAAAAGAGGAAGCTTTTTTAGATTTTTCTTAAAATCCTATCTATATAATGAGTTTCCCTCAGCCAGTGTGACTGTCTTACTGATGTTAGATCCCGTGTTTCTCTTTTCAGGCCAACAGGGCGATGATGGAAGCTGAACTACACGATCCTCAAAACATTTCCACTCAGCTTCATGTATTCAAGGTTTCGGTTTTGGAGGGAGATTGTGACAGAGGTATAAATGTTATTTATGAGTTATGTGTGACTGTTAATGCAAATAGTATCTAGTGCTCAAAAATAAATAACCCACAGTAGAATAAAACCACATACTGTTTTTTCCGAGTGCGGCATTGGATGTACATTCTATATATAAAAGCAACAGTGCAAAAAGAAACCGTGAGAAAAACAACTGGGCAGATGTGAATCAGTAGTTGGAGGAGGGTCTTGTCATTGTGTATTCTTTATATTTTCTATCAAAAAAAAGAAAATTAGTTTGAAGATCTAGGAAGAGAGAAATTTATATTAAAATCCACAACAGTTAATAATTGTTTCCTAGGTACCTTTTGATTCCTCACTTCTACGAAAGGTGCTAAGTGAAAGATTTGGCCTTAAAATGAAGTCTGTCCATGGATGAACAGTGTTAGAATTGCACGTATTACTTACATCCCAGTAGTACTATTTCCTTTTCCTAAAGTTAAGAATGGTTTCCTCGGGCCCGGTGCGATAGCTTAGTGGTATAAGTCCTCGCCTTGGATGCGCCAGGATCCTGTACGGGTGCTGGTTCTAGTCCCGGCAGCTCCACTTCCCATCCAGCTCCCTGCCTGTGGCATGGAAAAAGCAGTTGAGGATGGCCCAAAGCTTTGGGACCCTGCACCTGTGTGGGAGACCTGACAAAAGCTCCTGGCTACTGGCTTCGGATTGGCTCAGCTCCAGCCCCTGTCGCCACTTGGGGAGTGAACCAGCTAACGGAAGATCTTCCTCTCTGTCTCTCCTCCTCTCTGTATATCTGCCTTTCCAATAATAAATAAATAAATAAATAAATATTTAAAGAAAAAGAATATTTTCCTAGCTTGTGTATGCACAATCTCAACTATATCTTGAATTAGTTGCAGATATGCTAATGTTCAGATATTAATCCCTTTTTCCCTCAGGGTAGCTTCACAAATTCTGAAACAGTCTGAGCTTTAAACTGGCTGCTCTTTGTAAAAAATAAAGTTGACAAGCTTTAATTAAGATGTCAGAACATAATTAATACTAATACAATTAAGCAACCATTTATGAATACCTACTATGTGCAAGGGACCCTGTTACTGACTCCTTAAGGAAAAACATCATTTAGTCTGCATCGAGAAAGAAAGGTTTCAGAACGGTGCAGTATATCTGTGTCAAAATTAACAAGTAATCAGTTGAAATCAGCTCTGTATCAATACTGCTGTTCATGTCTATCAAAATGTTTTTATTAAAAACTTCTGAGATTTGGTTTTATTTGATTCAGCGTGTTAAAAAGATAAGAGAACTCGAACGTTTTGCCAGCAGAAACAGCAAGAAAATAGATTCCCCACTAAATCTTTTAACATATGAAAATGCAGTTATTTTTAAAATACGAGCCAACTAAGTCTTTTTATTTACTCCCTAGCTACCTGTGACGATTTTTAAACATTGCTTATTGAAGATAAATATAACAATATTTATCCTTGCTAGCTTAAGGAATCTATGAGTATTATGTATGTTAATGATTCTATGAGATTTGAAAAATGCGTAAAATTAGGCAGCCACCATCTCATGCAGATGTAGAACAAAAATTGTCTCAGACCCTTTGTTGTCGCTCCTTCCCACCATTTTTGGCCCTGGATGTCACTGTTCTCTTTCCCATCTGTATTTCTGTCTCCCAGAGTTGTAAATTGAGTCATTATAATATAATGCTTTTTGAACCTTTCTTCTTTCCCCTAGCATAAACAATTTTAAACTCACCCGTACCGTTGTGTATGTCTACAATTTGTTCCTTCTTGTTCTTGAATAGTATTCATAGTGTGGAAATACAACAGTTTTTTTTTTTTTAAGATGTACTGATTTTTATTGGCAAGGCAGATACACAGAGAGAAGGAGATACAAATAGAAAGATCTTCTGTCCACTGGTTCACTCCCCAAGAGGCCACAACGTCCAAAGCTGAGCCCAATCTGAGGCCAGGTGTCAAGAACTTCTACAGGTCTTCCACATGGGTGCAGAGTCCTAAGGTTTTGAGCCATCCTCTATGCTTTCCCAGGCCACAAGCACGGAGCTGGATGGGAAGTGGAGCAATCAGGATATGGACTGGCACCCATATGGGATCCTGGTGAAGTAAGGCGAAGATTTAGCCACTAGGCAACTGTGCCAGGCCATGCAGGTTTTTTTGCTTTTTTTTTTAATCCATTCACCAGTTGAAGGATATTTGGATGACTTCCAGTTTGGGCAATCATGAATAACATTACTATAAAGATCTCTTTACAAGTTTTGTGTGAAAGGAAGAAGGCATTTCTGTAGGGTTAGTGTCTAGGAATAAGAGTGTGGGTTTACATAATAAATGCATGTTTAATTTTATTTGAACCTGCCAAACAATTTTTCAAAATAGATACACAGTTTTATCTTAGACTAACCACACATGAGAGTTTTGGTTGATATACTTCCTCATTTTAGAAAATATTGTCATTTTGATTGTTGGGTAGTGATAGCCTAGTGTGGCTTTAATTAAATCTCCCATGTGGGTGGCAGGATCCAAGTACATGGTCCATCCTTCCACTGCTTTCCCAGGCACATTAGCAGGGAGTTGGATCAGAATCAGAGCGGTTATGACTTGAACCAGCGTTCTGAGTCAGGATGCTTGCAGAGTAAACAGTAGTAGTTCAATCTGCTTTGCCATACCACCAGCCCCTCTTTGTAATTTTGTAACATTATCTTTAATGAGCAGAAGTTTTAAATTTTACAATTTATCTTTTTTTTCTTCTTTACTGATTACGTTTTTGATGTTGTAGCTAAGAAGTCTTTGTTAACCCAAAAATCAAACAAAAATTTAATTTTGGATTTTACATGCAGGTCTGTGATCCATTTTGAGGTGTGTTTGTTGCTGTTTATATTTAATTCTAGAGGGGTATTGAAATCCATTTTTTAACAAAGTAGTTATCCAATTGTTCCTGCTTTATTGCATTAGCTCACTATATCAATTACTTTTCACCCTTGTCAAAATTCAGTTGTCATACGTTTGTGGGTCTTTGCTTGGAATGTATTCCATTCACTATGTTTATATCATTCCATACTCTTAGTGCGGCTCTGAAAAATACGAAATACAGTGCTTGTCCTCAGACTTTATTCTCTTCCAAATTATTTTGGCTATTCATGGTCCTTTGTATATTAATTGGTGATTTTCTGTTTAGTTCTTCTTTCAATTATTGAGTGAAAATATTGAAATCTAACTATAGTTGTAGATTTGTTGATATCCTCATATGCTTCTATCAGTTTCTACTTTGCATGTTTTGAAATTTTGTTATTGAATACAAAAACGTGTAGGATTATATCTACATTACATATTGATTCCTTTGATCATATTTAAATTAACTTTATCCCTAGTACTGTGTTTTTATTCTGAAATCTGTTTTGTCTAATAATATAGCCACTCTAGCTTTATTTAGCTTATTTTCACTTTATGACCTGTGAGGGTAATCAGTATTACTTGTGTGAAGGAACTTCAAAAAGTTTGTGGAAAGAAAATTAAAAGGTATTTTTATTTTGGTGCAAAAAAACCCTTTAAAACCTTGCGTAGTTTCTTTTCATAACATGTGTTTTCTATGAGCTTTTTGAAGTTCGCTCATATGATACAGCATCCTCTCATTTCCTCAAATTTGTCATGGTCTTTAAAGAATTTTTCTCCCAGGTAAGATGTGTTTGTTAAGTTTTTTCTTTATTTGCTTGTTTGTTTGTTTTGATCCAACAAGATTAGTTCCACCTTTTTGGGGTCATTAATTCATTTATGTTTAACACAATTACTTATCAGTTTGCCTTATATTTGCCTCATCTGTTCTTTGTTGCTTTTTCTGTTTTTCTCCTGCTATGTTTTGAGTAAACTGAATCTTAATCTATTGCATTTATTTCCTTTATTGATTATTAACTATAACTTACCTAGGACCTGTAGTACACCTATTTAACTTTAGTCTGCATTTAAGACACATAACAGAATTTATTGCAGCCATTCAATTTATAACCTTGTTCTATATTATATTTCATTTTTGGGTATACTAAAATGTGTATGGCACATCTGATATTGATGGAATTTAGGTTCCATATTTTACTCTGAAAGCAATGCTGAGTAAACCTTATGTATGTTTGTTTCCTTTTATAAATATACACTTAAGATAAATTCACAAAAACACATTTTCTTATATTCAAATCATTCTTGACAGTTTAGCAACTGTCTTATAAATGATATTAATTCATATTTTAAAGATACCAATGCTTTTAACATGAGTTCAAATTCATTGCAGTGTAATTAGCCCTGGGCAAGTATTATCTGTGATAAGAGTATCCATTTTTAAATTCCTTCCTTGTTTTTCAGCTTTTCTGGCAATTGAGAATTTAAAGTGCTTATTAGCAGCAGAGACACCAGATAATGATCTAGACCAAAATGCAGGTAACTCGGCCCTGAGTTCAGCTGCCCAATTTGCTCTTGAGGTAAGTCATATTTATCCATTCACTGAGTTCTTACTCTCTTTTCCTTTTGAAAGATAATTAAAAGAATCAGCATCAACTAGGCATAGGGAGATCTTTTTATTTTGCCTCTGTTCTTCATAGAGATTGGTTACAGAATTGTTTCATTTCTCTTCCTGTCTTTGTAAAGCAGATAATACAACATAACAAAGTGGGATAACAGATTTGCACTTTGAAAAATTACCAAAATGGTGATTTGCAGAGAAACTGCAGATTTAAAATGTTATACCAAACAAATCAATTAGAAACTTATCTTTCTTACCAACTGAAAAATTGTTAGATTTCTGTGTATGTGTTTTGTTCATAACCACAAAACAATGTTAGTTTGTTTTGATCCTTTGTTTTTCTTTGATGCAGTTCCTTAGACTCAGGGATTTCCACTTCCACCTCCTTTATCTCTTCTCCCCCCATTGTTTTCCCGTGTATAATAATAGTTTAGTCCCTCAACAACAGTCAGTGGTCCATCATTCTGCTATTTAAGTGTATTATGACATTGTAGATACAGACAATGTTATAAAGACCAGCATTCTGTTGTCAAGATATATTTAACAGTTTCATTGAGAGTCCATCTTTTATTCAGAAATAGAGGCATATACCGCAGTGTATCTCCGCATCATGGTATATTTGCATCTATTATACAGTTCCTCTAGATAAACATATGTATATTCATACTTGCCTATATATCTTCTGATCTTGTATTTTGCGAGTATATTGCTTTATAACAGAGAGCACATATGGCATTTGTCCTTTTGGGACACTGAGCTTAGTGGTCTCTAGTTGGGATCATTTGGTTGCAGATGGTATAATTTCATTATTTTAATGGCTAAGTAATATTCCATAGAGTACATGTATCACAGTTTCTTTATTCACTCCTCTTTCAACAAGCATCTGGGTTATTTCCATGTCTTTGCTATTAGATTGTGCTGCTGTAAATATAGTATTACAGATCCCTTTCTCATATTTCATTTTCTTTGGAAATATCCCAGAAGTAGGATAGCTGGATCATACAGCAAATCAGTTTTCAGTTCTCTAAGCACTCTCCATACTGATTTCCATAGTGGATGTACTAGCCTACATTCCCACCAGCAGTAAAGGAGGGTAGATTTCTCCTCACATCCACGCCAGCAGGTGTTGTTAGTAGAATTCTGAATGTTGGCCAACCTCATTGGAGTTAGGTGGACTTCAGTGTGGTTTTTATTTGTATTTCCCTGTTTGTTAGGGAGCCTGAGCGATTTTTTTTTTCTTATGCCTCTTAGCCAATTGAGTTTCTTTTGAGAAGTATCTGTTCATTTCCTTCACTCATTTCTTCACAGGCTTGTTCATTTGGCTATCATTGAGTTTCTGAAGTTCTTTGTAGATCCTGGTTATTAGTCCCCTGTCAGTTATGTAGTGTGCAAATGTTTTCTCCCATTTTGTTGGTTGCTTCTTCAATTTTGACTGTTTCCTTTGCTGTACAGAAGCTTCTTAATTTGATGTAGTCCCAATGGTTTGTTTTGGCTTTGACTGCTTGTGTTTTTGGTGACTTTCCAAAGAAGTCTTTACTGAGGCCTATATCTTACAGAATGCTTCCTGTGTTTTTCACTAGTAGCTTGATGGCTTCTAAGTACAGATTTAGGTCTTGATCCATTTGGAGCTGATTTTTGTATAAAGTGAAAAGTGTGAGTCTTGCTTCTTACCTCTGTAGAAGCTATTCAATAGTCCCAATGGCATTTATTGAAGAGACCAGATTTTTTCTCTGGATTATTTTCAGTATTCTTGTCAAAGATTTGTTTGTTTTACATGTGTGGGGCTTGTATTCTATTCCATTGATTCTCTTGTCTGTTTCTGAACCAGTCCCACACTGTTTTGATGACCCCTGCTCTGTAGTATGTCTTCAGGTCTTGAATAGTAATTCCTCCAGCTTTATTTTTATTTTTCAGGATTGCTTTGGCTATTCATATTCTCTTGTTTTTCTAAATGAATTTTCCTCTCATCTATTTCTGAGAAGAATTGTGTTGGGTTTTTGCTTGGGATTATATTGAATTTGTACATTACTTTAGGTAATACGGACATTTGGATTATGTTGATCCTACTGATTGGTCTGTAGCTCTCTTTTGCTGTTGTGTCTCTTTCTGGTTTTGGTATTCAGGCTCCTGTGAGTTTAATTGGCAGTCCTTTATATGTCAATTGATTTTTTTCAAGTGCACATTTAAGGATCTTTTCCTTATGTTCAATTGAAGAGAGCTTGATGACCATGTGTCTTGGTGAAGATGGCTTTTGATCAAGCCTTTTGGGAGTTCTGTGCCCCTCCTGGATCTTGTTCCCCAATTCTTTCTCCAGATTAGGGAAATTTTCCTTGATTATTTCATTAAATAGATTTTTAAACCCAGTTTCTCTTTCTGCACCTTCTGGGACTCCCATAACTCTTATATTAGGCCTCTTAATAGTGTCTTTCAATTCTTAAGTGCTTTTTTTATAGCTTCACCTAGCTCTGCTTCCAGCTTTTTTGTTTGCTTCCCCCTGATGACAGGAAATATCTTCCAATTCTGAGACTCTTTGTTCTGCTTGCTTCATTCTATGTTGGAGACTCTCCACTGCAGTTTTAATTTGCTCTACTGTGTTCTTAATTTCTGATATATCACCCTTGATTTGCTTTATTGCTTCCTTAAATTCTTTGAACTCTTGTATGTGCTTCTCATTGTTGATCAGAAGCTTTAAAATGAGTTTTCTGAATTCTGTGTCCCCCATTTTCTCGATGTCTTCCTCAGTTAACTCTGAGGTTGGCATAGGGTTTTGGTCCTTTGCAGGGGAGTTTTTGGCAATATTCATTGTGCCTCTGTCTCTTCTTTTGCTCTTGACCATTGTGCTTCTGGTTAGCAGAGTCTTCTCCTTGGTGCAGGTTTCTAAGCTGTGTCACCCACAGGTCTACAATGTGATTTTACTTATTGCAGTTGGTACACAGCTCTTTGCTTGAAGCCAATCGTGCCATGCCCTGGGGCAAGTTCCAGGTCTGGGTTCTTATGTTAGATTCCACCGTGGTCTCCACAGCCCTAGCTCCTGGCTCACCAATCTCCACCTCTTGTGATACTGTGCTGAGGCTGCACCGTTGTCTCTGCAACCTTTCTCCCACTTCTGGTTGGAGCAGGTCCCAGGATTAGAGAGACACCAGGTATGCTATATAATTATGTTGTTGGTGGTGCTGATCTTGTCGGAACCTGTTGGATGTTAGGTCTGGGTGCCACACGGATCTATTTTGACCCGTACAATGCCAAAGTCGGTATTATTTTTCCTGTGGGACCAGTGCAATCCACGGAACTCAGTGAGCTCTCACGAACTCAGCACATGCGCAGTTCACTGTTGTCTCCTGCAGTCCTAAAGCTATTGCCACAGTGTACAAAATGGCACATGACGTACCACCACTAGAGTTCTTGATCTGCTGGCCATAAGGTCTCAAGGCTACCCAGACCTGTCTTGGGTGGAACCTGTAGAATTCCACGTTTATGCAGTTCACTGAGTCAGAAATGAGTTCACTCCCAGCTCAGCGTATGCTCAGTCCTTTCCCTTGCCTTTGCCTCCTTACCCAAAATGGCACCCAGTTTGGCTCTAGGGGGCTGACTGGGATGTGAAATCCACCCTATTCTCGCACTGCCCATCTGGGATCTGCTGTGCTGTCTCTGCTCCTGGCTAAATCAAATAGACCAGCAGGACAAACAGTTCTTTTTCTGGATTTACCTCCCAAGCTCCCAGTGAAAGTTCCTTCCCACCTGGTTGCTGGTGGAGATCCGGCTACTGGTGGAATTCAGATTGCTGTTCGCTGAATGGCACTGGAGTATCAGTCACTGCAACACCACACCATTGTGTCCGCTGCTTTTCTGTGTCTGTGAGTCTCCAGGTACCCCCTGCTGTTGTTCTGTCCTTTCCTATTTTCTGGAATAAGTCCTCTCTGCTTCATCCTGATTAAATGTTTTTCCATACATTTAAACGTGTCCTTACCCTATTCTGCCATCTTGATTCCTCTGATTCTTTCTTCTGCCTCACTCATTCTATTATTTAGGCTTTCCACTGAGTTTTTAATTTACTATATTATGTGCTTCATTTCTCAGAATTCTGCATGATTTTCTTTCAACATTGCTATTTCCTTTGTAACATATTCCTTAAGCTCCTGTATGTGCTTCTAATTGTTAACAAGCTTTATTACGGTTTTTAAAAATAAGATGTATCCAACAGTTCCTCTTTGTTTTCCTCAGTTAACTCTGAGGTTGAAATAGGATTTTGCTCCATTGCAGAGGAGGTAGCAATAACCTTATTTATTATGTCTGTGTCTTTTCTTTTGCCCTTGTGATTGTAAATTTAATTAGCAAATTCTTCTCCTTGGGTCTGATTTTTAAGCTGTGTTATCTGCAGGGTTATAAGTCGATTTTACTGATCTGTTCAGTGCCTGATTCCTAATTCTTTGTTGTCCCTTGTGCCACTCCTTCCAGTGAGATTCAGTCCTGGGCTCCAGTGCTACACTCTTGGCTCACCAATCGCCAACCTTTGTAATTCTATGTTGCTGACGCAGTGTTGCCTGTTCAATCTTTCTCCCACTCCTGAATCTAGCTATATCCGGGATTAGAGAGACACTAGTTGTCCTAGGTCACAGGGTTGTCAGTGGTGTCCGTTATAGATTTTTTTTTCCCATTCCTTCTCTTGGCAGAACCTGCTAGCAATTAGGTCTAGGTGCAACCATCTATTTTGGATGGAGCCTGTGGGATGCTGAGTCATTATTTTTGTTGTGGTAAGACCAGTGCAATGCATTGAGCCGGGAGTGAATTCTCCCCTGGCCTAGCACGTGCACAATTGATTATTGTCCTTCCAAAACTTTCCCTCATTTCCTAAAGTGGTGCCTGATGCAGCACTAGTGGGGTCTGTGCTATGAAATCCACCCAGTTCCCACATTCAACTGCTTGGCCTCTGTCTCTCTGCTTCTATTCATTGTCAGATTA